CCAATGTGTGCCCTGTGTCCTTCGGGAGACCTCAGGTGTTTGCATGCATGGGCATCTTGTGTATCGGGTATATGGGAATTCTGTGAGTTCATATTGAAACCAATTAATTCATGGCCACCTTACATCTCTCCAGAATTCATAGCAGGTTCCAAGAGTACCTTGCACTCTGTCGAATGTGACTTGAGAAATTGTAGAAAGTAAACTTCCAGTCCCAGACACTCCCGAACACACGTAAACATTTCAGAATCTCTTTTTTTAGATTCCACTGAAATCCAGTTGGCAAACTCTCCCCTTGGATTACATCTTTGCATTGTCCAAAGTGGTCTACTATAAGACGTGAATACCGTTAGAGTAGAAGTCATCTTCAAACATGGTTAAACCCTATACATCTTATATATAAAGTCATGTAACTGCTTGTTTTATTCTCTGACTTCAGAAGGCACTGTTGGCCTGTGGGTAAAAAGGAAAACAGAAGGATGGTGAGACATCTGAGAGTTGGGAGGTAGGTTCTGAAATCTTAGAACTAGTGCAAAGTACCTGCAATTCTCTTTGAGCAATTAGGGTGTTGTTGTCAGATGCCATTGAATCAGCCCCGACCCTATATGCAACAGAATAAAACACTTCCGGGTCCTGTGCCAGCCTCACAATTGTTGTCATGCTTGAGTTCATCATTGCAGCCACAGTGGCAATCCATCTCATTGCTGTGTGTGTGTGTGGGTGGGTGTCTTCCTCTCCTTCACTAACCCTTTATTTTACCAATCATGATGTCCTTTTCCAGGGAACTGGTCCCTCCTGAGAAACATGTCCAAAGTACACGAGTCTCGCCATCCTCACTTTAAGCATTCTGGCTGTACTTTAATGACAGATTTGTTAGTTCTTCTGGAAATCCATAGTGCATTCAATACTCTTCAGCACTTCTTCTCCCATCTTTCTTATTCATTGTATTCATTCAATTGCATATGAAGCAATTGAAAATACCATGATTTGGGTCAAGTGCACCTACCTTAGTCCTCAAAATGACAGCTTTGCTTTTTAAAAGACACTTTAAAGAGGTCTTTTGCAGTAGATGTGCCTGATGTAATACTTTACTGCTGCTTCTGTGAGTGTTGATTGTGGATCCAAGTAAAATGAAATCCTTGACATTTTATGAGCAACAAAATTAGAGTCTACATAGTGAGAATTTTTCTTTCTTCCTAATCCCTCCTTACATACCCTGTAACTTTCCAAGAGCACTCCGCCAAGGAAGTGAATGACAAATATAAACTGTATATTTGTTATAATAGCTGTTATACTATTCCTAGTCCTTGCTTGAATGTTATCTCCTTCAGCCACAAATCCCCCACAGCAGTGGAGACTGGAGGTCTGAGAGCTTAAACATCTCACCCTGGGAAACTAAGCCCATTGTTTGGCAAAGCCAGAGCAGGACTGTGGTTCTTCCGATTTCTAGTTCTATGCTTTCTCTACAACACCATGGTACATTTGCCTTAGTGTTCAGGCAAGGTTGGAAAGCAGCCCAGTCCCTTTCCCCTTTGTTGATGTAAATCATATGGCGATCTTGAGTTTAATTGTAAATTAAAAAGGAGAAGGGAGTAACTACAAACAATGGAAAACCCCATCTGTATCCCTCTGGAAACGTAAAATCAACTATATAGAATTTAGTCTGTAATGGAAGAAAAGTTTCCATTTGTTTTTGTACTGTCAATGAGCGCTTTCTAGACACTGGAACTGAAAACATCTCCTAGCCCCACTTTATCAAAAGCCTCAAGTTACGAGTAAGAAAGTGTGGATCCCCAGCTTCAATTATTACGGAGCAAAGAGTTGAACCTGAACTGAAACAGGATCTGTTTATGCCCAGGGTGGGGTGGGGGTGGGAGGCGGGAGAATTGGAGGGAGAGAAGCAGACTGCTGGGTGGGTTGTAAAAGCAATCACTCTAATTTATTAGAATGTTGGACATCTTTGAAATCACATGAAGTACCCAACTAACATTTTTCCAATTCGTACAGTTAGATCATGTTCTTCAGGGATTCATGATTAAAACTGGGGCTTGGCCAAACCCCTAGTTTTTCTTTCTTCTTTATGTCTTCAGCTGATCATGCTTTGGTTATTTCAATGTGGTAGACACCCCCAATGGCTAATAGACAATCAACTGTCGAGATTTCTGGGAAATTTCCTAATCTGGGACACAACTGTAACCCTGAATGTGTTTGAAAGAAAGCAGCTAAGCATTAATGCAAACAGCTCACCCAAGGCCAGTTCACTTGTCTCTGGAGCTTTCTGTAGCTGTAGTGACTAAATGTTCTTAATGGATACCCGAAGTCATTTTTAAAACATTAAAATGTTTTTTAAAGCAGAGATTTTTTTGCCACAGCTGGCACATCAATGTTTATTGTTGGCATTGCCCCAACTGCTCTCAGCTTTTTTTTCATCTTGGGGCAATATAGTTCCAAAAGATGGTGGAAATATGTTTAAGAAGTTGTAACACCTAAAGCAGTGATTATGTTTCAGTCATCAAAACAACCTTGTGTTCCCAGCTATGCCAGATAAAGAAGGGGCATTATTGTCCTTGATATACACAGCTGGAGACTGCCCCCCCCATGTCCCTGGAATAACTGTGTATCTCTGCCCTGCCTCCACCTTCCCCTCAAGACTTCCTGCCTGGCCTAAGTAACTCTCACACATCCCTTCTCTCTTCCCCTCATTATCTTGGACAGCTGCCCTGTCCACCACCTGCAAGGAGAGGGGTTGACCTTAGGACTGGAGCTTGGACTGAAGGGGAGCCAGTGGGACAAGGTCAGTGTCTCTTCAAGGACGGAATTCTGGGAATGAACATGAAGTTCATTTAACTTATTAATCATTCCAGCAAAATAGCAGCTGGGCTAGAAGGTCAAAACAAATGTTTTGAATGAGCTGTGTGCATTTTCAATGCATTTAAGTGACCCATAATACCTTTGTTCCGGCTATTGCTATGAAATCAGCTCTTTAATGATAAGAGGTACTTTCATGTGTGTTTGGTAGAACACAAACAGTCATTGTCATTTCATCTCTAAAAGTCTGACAGCCTGATTGAGATAAGGAGAATAAATCAATAAGCACACCTGTAATTTACCCATCATTGGTTACGATTGCCTAGTCCTAGGATTGCTTCCATCTGACTTCTTGTTGTGTTGTGAAGTGCCGTCGAAGTGGTTCCAACCCATAGCGACCCTGTACATGGTTTCCAAGGAGCAGCTGGTGAGTTTGAACCGCCAACCTTGGCAGTTCAAATAGCTTGGTGCATTAACCCACAGCGCCACACCAGGACTCCTCCCTCTGACTTAGGGCTTATAATAGTTGGCAGCTTCTAAGAGTGGGGATCACTTCTAAGAGTGGCAGTGGGCTGGCTTGGGTTCGGGTTTTCTTTCTTTTCTTTTAAGAAGTCACTTTTTTATTTAGAGTTACTACTATGGTGACTTCAAAAAACAAGTTTCAATAATAGCAAATAGTGTGTGGCACTGTAGGATAAGCATTGGACTGTTTATCCTATACAAGGTCAGCGCTTAAACCCACCAGTCACTCCTTGGAAGCCCTATACAGGGTCCCTATGTGTCAGAACCGAGTCAACAGCACTTAACAACAACAGTGGTTGGTAAGAAGCCCTAGTGGCATAGTGGGTTATCCATCAGGCTGCTAACTGCAAGATCAGCAGTTCGAATCCACCACTTGCTCCCTGGGAGAAAAATTAGTCTTTCATTCCCACAAGAATGTATAGCCTCGGAAACCCTATACAGGGTTGCTATGAGTTGGAACCGACTTGACAGCACACAGCCACCATCACCACCAATAGTGATTGGTATGAGGTTAAATAAACAACAACGGTGCATCCTTAAAAACTACAAGTCCTTTTCAGAATGATGATAACTTATTTGAAAGTGCTTCAGAATGAAGGAAAAGGAATGAAAAGTAATAAAGCTGGTAGACTTTTTGAAACACTTGAAAAAATAACTCACTAAACCATATGAATCATTTCTTCCTTCACAGACAGTCACAACTATTGTATTGGAAATATATATATATATATATATATATATATATATATTCACAAACACCTGATCCCCAAATGCAAACATCATTCCCAAAAGCAAATTGAATTCCTTATCAATACGGTACTGGGTGTCAAGCATGAGATCTTTGAGAGAAGAGTCATAGGTTCATGTTCAATCAACCTTTATTTCCTGCTTCTAATAGTCCCCAGGGTTACAGAGTAGGGGACATCTGAGCCCCATGTTCCATTGATGAAGCAGACAGCTGCGATAAATGAATCAATATAGAAGAGGCATTTGGAGGTATTGGGGTGATACACCCAGTAACGGCTAACCACAACGGAAGATGGCAGAGCTACTAAGAAATCAGGCAAGTTACCTTGGGATGACAACTGGAGATGCAAGAAAACCATACAGTTGGGTCTGTTGAGTTACCCTCCCCCTCAGTCCCCATTCAATGCCACAAACTGGTCCTCAAGTCGGGCTAGCTCCCAGCTGAAAGTGGGAGGGAGGGAAAAGGTGTCTGAGGTCTCTTCGTTTTCTTTGTCTCTGTCCCTAAGGCAACAGGAAGCAGGAGCTGCTGCTGCTGCTGGCCTGGTAGGGATGGCCAGGCCCTTGGCTCTGCAGAGTGAGTAGTCCCCTGGAGCAGCTGCCACTTAGACGGCCCGAGTTCTGATAGAATTCAGTGCTTCAGTTCAATGCCAAGTGTTGGATTCAGTTCCCAGAAGCCTGGAGAGTGGTGTCTGAGCTTCCTGAAGACGAGAGCAGAGGCAGTTTAGTGCAGTTGGGGATGCAGGGTGGGGACAGAGGAGATGAAGACAAGAGGGGAGAAGGGAGAGAATGACCAGGAGTGAGTATGTCTCCCGGCCTCACATCACTGCCTGGGCCTCAGGGAAGGAGAACCTTGGAGGGGGAGGAAAGAGCAGGAGCTGAGCGCGATGAGAAGGGCGCAAGCAAGCCAGCCAGCTGGGACCGCGGCTCTAGACCCCCTCGGTGCCCTGGGGGAGGGCGGGCAGCCCCCCGGGAGCGAACTGGCGGCGGCCGTCGGCCGGGGAGCCAACGGCGGTCTCAGCATCCGCGACAGCCGAGACACCTCCCGGGATCCACTGGTGCTCGGAGCAGGCCTGCGCCGGCTCGTCCTTAGCCTCGACGAGTTTGCGGGAGCGGGTGTAGGCCAGGATGAGGCCCCCGGCCAGGCAGGCGTAAAAGATCATGATGAGTAGGATGTAGAGATAGGCGTCGTCGCCCTTGGCGCTGGTCACCTCGCGACCCACGAAGGGGTCAGGCACGACCCCCATGCCCATGCTGGGGCCCGGGCCTGCACCCAAGCTGCTGGCATTGCCCCCGTGGTGCAGCTCGAGCAGCAGGCGGCTCAGAAGGGTGCGCAGCCACTGGCTCTCGCTGCAGTTCATGGCTGTCGGGGAGTGACACGGAGGCTCCAGGACGCTGTTGACCTTTCCCCCTGGGTGAGGGAAGCGAGTAAGAGGGGAGCCGGTGCGGGGCAAGGCCACGGCGGTGGCACCGTGCTCTGGAACGGGCTGCGCAGTGGCTGGGGGCGCGGGCCGCTGGGGCTGCCTTATCCCCTCACCCGCGCCCCTCCTCCCCTTCCCCACCACGCCCCCTTCAGCCCGCGTCCGCCTCTTCCCAGGCTCCGGCTGTCTCGCAGCTCTGGGGAAAGGGGACAGCTGGTGGGGGGTGGGGGGAGAGTAGATGGGGGACAAGGGAGGGGGCGACTCCAGGGAAAGGGTGGAGGGGGCGGGAGCTCGATAGGCTCGTGGCCCCAAGCAGCAGAGGCTGGCAGGGCAACTTGCTGGGGCCAAACCTAGAACCTGGGTTGCAAAAGAAAATTCCCTCCAAGTTCTGGCCACTTGCCCCTCAGGCCCCTCTTTGGCCCAGATACAGCATCTGGGCCCCCAAGGCCACTCAAGTGAGACCACCGGGAAACCTTTCCTTAGCTTTTGCGTAACATGGCAGTCAAGATATTTTCTTCACATGTTAAGGCAGTTAGTCCCGTAGACAAAGGCCTCGACCTGTCTATCTTTCAAGCCTTCAGTTCCTTCCCCTGCTTTAAGGAGAACATCTTACACAAAAGCTGCTCAGGCTGTTTGGTGACTGAGTGATGGAACACTTACTAGACAATCACAGCATAACTGTTCCAAAAAGGATTTTGATAATAAACCAGCTTCCTTAAGTAGTCTTGCTCTGATCTTCCATCAGTCACACTTTTAAGGAAGCCCAGGAGTCCTGGTGTAGCGCTGTGGGCTAATGCGGCAGACTGCATAGTCATTTGAACTGCAAGGTCGGTGGTTCAAGCTCATCAGCTGCTCCTTGGAAACCCTATACAGCGTTGCTATGGGTCGGAATCGACTAGACAGCACGTAACAACAACAATATACTTTGCATATGAGTATGAAGGCAACTTAGCATAATGGGGCCCCTATTTCCCTTCTTAAACCATCATCCTAGAAGTAAAATCAAGTTCTACCATTTAGAGGATCCCACCCACTTCCATCAAGTTGATTCTGACTCGTAGCAACTTTGTATTGGGTTTCCGAGGCTGTAAATCTTTATGGGAGCAAAAAGCTTTTCCCCATGGAGTGACTGGTGGGTTTGAACTGCCAGCTTATTGGTTATCAGTCCAGTACTTATCTTACAGAACCACCAGGGCTCTTTGACTATATTTCCTTGATTTCTCAAGGTCTGAAAAATGCCAGTTCTAGAACATATGCTTACTCCCAACCCACCCTTTGTTAGTGGTCCCACAGTTACGTGCCTCTTCAGAGCTTGAAACAGGTCTAGGCCCTGATGATCTATGGGGCAGCCACTTTTCCTTACCTGGGTGTCTCTTCTTTCAGGGAAGAATAAGGCACTGAGACAAAGATAGTGTAGAGTAAACTGGAAACAGACTATAGTTCATAAAGGAAAAGGGCTCAAACAGTTGATTTGTATATACTTGGTTGGTTGGTTATGTGCCATAGAGTCTGTTCTGACTCATAGCGACCCTGTATATGGTTTCTGAGGCTGTAAATCTTTACAAGAGCAGAAAGCCTCGTCTTTCTCCCAGTGGAATGGCTGGTAGTTTGGAACAGCTGACCTTGAGGTTAGCAGCCCGACTAGTAACCACTATACTACCAGAGCTCCTGATATGTATATAGTAAAGTAGAAAAATATGTGGTCAGCCAGCAGGAAAAAACAAAATAAAAAACAAAAATGGCAGTCTGTTTGACTATTACAAAAACAAGCAAGCTGTTTACCAAGGAGCCATCAAGGCAAGCAATCCAGTCCCTTTAGAACAAACTCCCCTCCAAGACTGAAACTCAAAGGGAACACATGAGCAGGCATGTAAGCTTGCTGGCAACCATGCTGGTCTACATTTGAGTGGAAGTAGGGGAAAGTCAGTAATGAAAACATGGGCTGAGTTCGACCATGTTCTATAGACTCCTGTCGACCTCGAGATGAGAGAGCGGCTGGTTGGTCCAAAGTTTGAGAGGACTTGGGAACTCCTGAGTCCATGGATATTGACCTAGCCACAGCATGCTCAGAGAGCTGAGAGTGAAGCATCCAGCTGATACGAAGTGAGGGGAGACACACAACAACACCCAAACTTGCAGATAGTACCCATTTGACCTAGCTTTGATGGCTGGATGATCAGAACTAGAGGAAGATAAAGAAATTTGATAAAATAAATAAGTGTAAATTGCTACAGTTGATTCACTTGACCTATGTAGTAGTTCAAAATACCAACTGAGAGGGAAGTTCTTCACATCAAGTATCAATGTTATCCCCTCTGTATACAGGGTAGATAGGGATGGGCAACTTAGGCATTGTTGTTGTTAAGTGCCGTTGAGTCATTCCAAGCCATAGCGACCCTATATAGGGTTTCTGAGGAGCAGCTGGTAAGCTTGAACCACTGACCTTACAGTTCAAATGGCTTTGCAGTCTGGTGCATTAACCCACAACACCACACCAGGGCTCCAACTTAGACGTTGGCTACCTAAAATGAGGGAGCTGTAAAGGCATGGACTGGCTGCCTTACAAGTTTTCATGAGGGACTTCAGACTTCAGGGGAAGGTAGGATCCCCACTGAATAGTTTTCATCTTGTCTAGACGGGTCTAGTGAAAAGAGATGGGGATAGGACTCTTTTGGTTCAGTAGTGAGTAATTCTTATCATGACTAATTGAGACTGTCACAATTGTAAAGGTAGAAGTTTTGTAACATGAAGGGGGGAGTAGTTAATCTTACATTCCAGGAACAGAGGACCCTAGGACCATCAAGGGAGAAGAGTATGAGCGGAATGTGGAACCTTAGCCAGAGAAGCAGTGACACCAGAGATGGAGGCAGACCAAACCAGGTGAGGTCATGGAGAGAGGGAGCAGCTGAGGACTCTAGACTCATGAAAAGAGAAAGGCTGTGTGCTCGTGGCTGGGGAGCAGGCTTGCAGGGTGTGACCTTTGGCTGTTTGAATGATTGTATATTCCTGAGTGTTTTTGTGTTCATCAAAAAAACAAACAACAACAACAACAAAAAACCAGAGGGAATAGAAGCAAATATTGTTAAATGATGATGCATGGAGGAGATTGTAACCTTTACAATGAAACAAAATATTATAGGATGAGTGCAAAATCGGTGTTCTCCCATGTAAACGATCATTCATTTCACAATCAATGCTTTAAAAGAAAAGAAAACTTCATGTGGTTAGATCTAGTTGTATATTATTGCCAAATGAGATTTCAAAGAGAGAAAAGTATATGCATTCATGTTAGGTGCCGCCCAGTCATTTCCAACTCATAGCGACCTTATGCACAACAGAAAGAAACACTGTGATCCTGTGCCATCCTCATAATTGTTATCTGTGAGCCCATTGTTGCAGCCACTGTGTTAATCCATCTTTCTGGGTATGCCGCACTTTGAAAAACAAGCTGCTGGTTCTAAGCCATTCACTTCAGGAGTCATTCAGTCTGCAAGTGCCATGGATACAAGGGGAGGCTTTTTGGTACCTTGGCCGAAGCCATACTCTGAGCTACCATCCACTTAGGGAATGCAGCCATGAGCTACCATCCACTTAGGGAATGCAGCCATCTGTGTTTGGGGATGAGATTGACATCTAACTATATGCAGTGTTTAAGACAGAGCATTGCTCAAGAGCCTTTACATAAACCTCAGAGGTATGACCAGTTACCTATAGTGACCCTGACTCCTTTCCTATCACCTTTCCTCAATATGCTCATTTTAGAGAGCCTTAGAGAAGACTTGATAAAGTAACCTGGCATATGAATCCCAGAGGATACAGCTAGGGAATGTTCAAAGTAGTACTAACCTAGGGACATGACTGTTGCGCTACAAGACTCCTCTTATCAGTGTTTAAACATTCCCAGAAATCCCTAGATGGACGTAGAGAAAGAAGCCCCTTTACTGTAATATAAAAATCACTTAAACTTGTGCTTTCCAACGGCCTTATGATTATGATTTATGATTACTCCAGTGTTCAGAAGCAGAAACTAAGGTGCAGAGTGGTTAAGTAGCAGGACCAAAATGATAAAGTGTGACTTTATTCTTCTTAGTTCTAATACATTACTCTTGTCACTTGGATGATATCCATGAGCTGCCTCCATTTTTCCACCTTTCCCTCCCTTGGAACCTACTAGACAGTCCAGAGCTTTCAGCCAAAATCTAAGTTCACCAGTGACCTTCTGGCCAAATTCAAGGGTCTTTGCTTAGTTTGCATCTTCGACCTCAGGGATGAATTTGATACCATCAACCACCCACTCCTTCCTGTAACTGTCATACCCTTGGCTCTCATGGCATTGCATTCTCAAGTTTCTCCTCTTATCTCTCTGACCCATCATTCTCTGTTTCTTGCTGGCTCCTCTTCGTCCCTCAGACCATTAACTATTAGAGTTCCTGAAGACTAATCCTCAACTATTCTCTTTTGATGCCCATTTCCTTAGAAAGTAAGATGTCATCTTGAGGACTAAGGTACGCCTGATCCAAACCATGATATTTTCAATCACCTCATATACATGCGAAAGCTGGACAGTGAGTAAGGAAGACCATGGAAGAATTGATGCGTTTGAATTATGGTGTTGGAGGAGAATATTGAAAGTGCCATAGGCTGCCAAAAGAACCAACAGATCTGTGTTGGAAGAAGTGCAGCCAGAGTGGTCCTTGGAAGACAAAATGGCCAAACTTCATGTCTCATACTTAGGACATATTGTCAGGAGGGACCACTCGCTGGAGAGGGATATCATGTTTGGTAAGGTGAGAGGAAGACCCCCAGTGAGATGGACTGGCAAAGTGGCAACATCAATGGGCTCAAGCGTGGCAACAATTGTGAGGTTGGCCCAGGATCAGGCAGTGTTTCGTTCTGTTGTTCATAGGGTCGCTAATGAGTCAGTACTAACTTGATGGCACCTAACAACAACAACAACAACAACAACAACAACATCACCTTGGCATATAATTAGTCAAATTTGAATTTCCACTGCTGATTCTTTTTTGGTAGAATCCATCTAAGCTCTCATTACCTCAGTGGCATCACGA